GCTGCCTCTCGGCTTCGGCTGCGGCTGCTGCTGCTGCTGGTGCTGGTGCTGCTGGCGTCCCCCCGTGACGCCGCCCTTAAAAGCACAGTCTTAGCTCAGCTGAATCCCATCTACCTATGCCCACACCCTATTCCAGATGCCCACCATCAGGCATGCATTCAGGACAAGGATCCATCATCTATCCTGATGGCGGAAGGGCAGAAAAGCCTGACATTTTCTTTACCCTACACCTTCATAAGCATTTAGCATGTAACTATATACTTATATCTTATATGTAGGCCAGTTACACTGTAATTTATATCTAAATGAAGCTTATCTGACACACTTGTTTCTCTATAAGGCACCTCATAGTCTTCCCCTTTAGGAACACTACATAGCACTTCAGCACTATACTTGGGGGTCATTTTACATAGCTGAATTGTGAACAAAAGAAGCACAAAAATGCGGGCCTCCTGGTGGCGCAGGCGGTTGAGTGCTGCACTGTGAAGCTGTCCGCAGCCTCTGAGAGTGGGTTCCGTCCTGGCCGGCCAGCTGAGAATCCCACATGGCACAGCAGACCTCTCTTGTCTCGCCCGCTGCTCCCCTCAGCAGTGTATTTCGTCAGTCTGCCTGTTCTGTTCCTACTCTGTCTCTGGTGAATCCTCTCACCCTCCTGTGCATCTGGCATGTATCCCGGTTCTTGAATAAATAAATAAATCTTAAAAAACACAAAAATGAAAAAAACAAGGACACTAAATGTAACTACATAAAGGACACCTGATAATGGGACAGGAGCTTGTTTCACTTCAGCTGGGAACATGTGCATTAAGTGAGAAACACTTTACCTCTTTGTGTACACCTGCAAATGACCACAAAAGAGTGGTGTTGATTTGGGGGTTACAAATAAATTTTAGTGAGTAGGCACACTCTCAAATCAAAACTGCAAATAACAAACATTGACTGTAATTGATTCAACATTCCTGCATTGTTAAAGGCCTTATGAGTGGGGGTGAGTATAGAGGAGGATTATAAAAGTGTTTATATAAGCACTAACCTGACAAGGCAAGCAGGTGATGTTTCTAATTTCTGTGTAGCCTAATATTTCCCCAGATTATAGTTAAATGTATATAATAATGCTAAATCTGTCTCAGTATTGCATACACCTTCAAAATCTTTAATATGTTAATGTACATTGTAAATGTCTAAAAATGTTGTATTTTCTAAGTTTGACTATTAGATCCTTTGGAACATGCTGCTCCAGGTGACAAAATCACCTGGAATTTAATCCTAGTGCTTAGAAAGTTTCTACTTGAGTAGAAGAGCTATTTGCATTGTAAAGGCTCTTTCGAATTATCAAATGCCCACTCTGTGGAATATTTCTCAGGCTTGGTAGATAGATTCAGCCTATTTCTATACCTTAGACATATTGTCCATTTTCCCCTTCCATGTTCTATTTGATAAAGCTACATCTGCCTGGTTGCTAAATTTGCTGGGGGCTTTCCTGAAAAAAAGACAGCTAGAAGAAAATTTGCATTCTTCTTGCTTTTCACAGTTGTACACTTCCACATTTAATAAGCAATTAAAAACAATTTCTATCAAGAGGTGGAACCTAGGCATCTTCATATACAATTTTGCGAGGAGAGAAAAGATTGAGAATGTGATGGTTGAAGACAGACAACAAAGCCTCAGTTCTCCAGGCACCACTTTAGAACTACACCCATCATCTCAAAGATAGAGTTAGTCCTTGGAAATGAAAGATATGTTCACTCATTTGCAGTTTGTTTCTGCCAAACCCATTGAAAGATAGATCTGCAGCCATTAGTTTATGATTTTGTTGAAAGCTTTCATGTGTTTCTTAGAAATATCATGAATAATTTTTTTAATGAAATAGTTTTTTGCTGTCTTAATACCGAATGCTGTAAAGCCTATTGTGAACACTGAGAATTTGTTTTTCTCTATGTTGTAAGTAGAGACCCAGGATGACCGGAACAGGGTTGGAAGAATGAGCGAAGGCTCTGAGCATCCATAGAAGCCAAACTGAGAGTGCTCAGCCCAGGATGCTGGAAGCAAGGGTCCAGGAGCCACTGCCCAGGGCTCCTATTCTCTCTGTCCACTTCCTATCTTAGAGATCATGACTAAGTCACTGCATTTCTTTGTGCCTCATTTCCTCACTAGAAAAATAAGGATTTATTTAGTACTTATCTCTATCACTAGGGATTTGAGTTCGTGCACATGACTGTGAATTTAGTGGCTTATTCAAATAGTGTGCATTTTTCTAGAGTAAGGGTAAGTCAGGAGCAGACAGTGTGGGGCTGAAGCAATGGCTCCAGGAAACTACTCTTGTTCCAGATTTTTCCCTTAGGTTTGTGTCACCATCCTTAATGTAAAGAACAGATAAGTAGTTTTTATTCTCGAGGTCTCAAGATGGTTTCTGCACCTACAGATATTCATATTCCAGAATGAGTTAGAGGGAATGAGGTAAAGCATAAAAGCCTCCTTGAAAGTTCTGCATTATTATTTGGTGATGCAAGTCTGTCCCTAAAATTTGTCTTTCTGTTGTTGAAATGAAATGCATCACGTGAATATGTGAGGGAAGCGGGAAATTTGACAAATTTTGCTGGCCACATGGTCACCCCTAAACAATGTCATGGTATGATTTATGTGAAAGAATGGGGGGAAATGGATGTTGGCTAAGCAGATGACACAATCATCTGTCAGTTGTAATGATCAAATTGGTTAATTCTTATAAAAAACTAAGAACCACAGGGAAATATAGAAAGTAGTCGATGTGCTTATAACTAATTTAAAAATGAAGCAAAGACTGAATATGGACAGCTTTGAAAGGAAAACAAGTAAACTCTCCACCTATCTCCACCTCTGACCTTGACTTTCTGATTTTCAAGCAAGTGAATCCTGCTTTCTAAATATTCCTTATCTCCTGACATTCAAATACTTGCAGACCTATCATTTTATGAAATGGTGGCTTCTGGCCCAAGGCTCTTTTGGACAACAATAACTGGCCGTTGTCTGTGCCTGGCATGCTCTTTGAATCTGAGGAATATGCACTAGGAGAGAACACTAGACAGATGAAAACAAAATGGCCTGAAGCAGCAAACACCTGGATGCAACAAATGGCGTTTCTCAACAACATCTGAGCAGTTTTGGACTGCCAAACATAATCTGGGCCTTGCAGAGCACTCCACAGTCAAATATTTTATTTAGACATATCTGTGAATATTTTGGTATAAGGCACCATCATTTCCGAAACCAGTGTCAAATGCATTGTATTCTTTTTTTTTTTTAAAGATTTATTTATTTATTTATAAGAACCAGGGTACCGGCCAGATGCTCAGGAGGGTAAGAGAATTCACCAGAGACAGAGCAGGGAACAGACAGGCAGACTGACGAAATACACTGCTGAGGGGAGCAGCGGGTGTGACAGGAGAGGTCTGCAGCGCCATGTGGGACCCTTGCTGGCCGGGATCGAACCGGTGCTGCAGAGACTGCGGGAGAGCTTCACAGTGCAGCATTCAACCGCCTGCGCCACCAGGGAGGCCCTGCATTGTATTCTTAAAATAGCAAACACTCTAGCGGTTGTTGATGTCTGTGATTTCCTTCTGAGCAGCACTCCTCTCCTGGATGTCTTGAAGAACTTTTCTATTCATTTCAGAGTGCTGCTAGAGGTTTTATTTCCCTCTTTGCTTCCCTTTCTCTTCACCAAAAAATTTACTAAGTGCCTGCTATGAACTCAATAATAGCATCCATGCAGGGATGACAGACTCTTAGTATGTCATAAATCATTAACTCATTCCACAAATACCTATCTGTGTGGCACTTCACAGGATGCAATGATGTGCAAAATAGGGGAACAGGATAAGGTCTGAATCCTGGGCTGTACGCGGGAGACAAATGCACACAGGAGCACAATACACTGAGATAAGTGATTTGAATGAATGAATAGGATGCTGAGGTCAATTGTAGGTTGCATGGATTTGGTTTGAGCTGAGAGGTCCTGGCCTGCTCTCTCCCTTTAGAAGAGGGAAATGTTTAATTGAAATGGCGCTTAAAAGTAAAAGGGAAATTGAGAAATTCTTTCTCTCATTTAGACTTGCTTGATAGAATGTGCCAAAAATTGTATTATTAGGGTTATATACTTTCCTGGCTGAGAGGCTTTGAAGCTCTGCAGGTGTGAGCTATAATAATTTGCCTTCAGGTTATTCATAAAAATCTTGGTTTTTCTATCAAGTTTTGCCCTAAGAAAGTACACCTTTTAGTGGAGGGAAAAAAAGGTACAATATGCAAGCTATTATTTGTTGCCTTAGGAATGTTTCAATTTTGTCTTGTCTTACAAAAATAAATGAGATTTCTAAAGTATTCATCAGGGGGATAGTAGAACAATGATTGGAGAAGTGATGGGATATTTTTTGCGAATGAAGTCTGTAACTTCAGAGAATCACAGAATCATAGCATTTCCAGGCTGGAAGGGGCCTTCAAGTAGCTGACATACAATGTGTAGTGTGGTATGTGGAAATGATGAAAAAGTCAACTGGGATTACAGAATCCAGGATTCTCAATATTTTTTTATAGGCTTTGATGTGAATACTGATGAAGCCAAATGAGGTCATCTCACATCATGTTGAATGCATCACTCAAAATACCATGTTCCAGTGATGGGAAAGGAGGACACAGTAAATAAACCATACCCAGGATTTCAAATTTTAGCATGAATTTAGGAAGTCTTTTAGTATGTGAACTATAGCAAAATATGTAAACAGAAAAGGAACTTGTTTTGTTTTCATATAAATGCATGTGTTAATAGGTATCATGCACCATGTACCATTGAAATATATGTTATAATGTGTAATATAAAAGACTAGAGAGTAATGAGTCTCAAGAAATATACTCTGCATACTGTGGTTTTGCGAATTACTATGACAACCATAATTTTTGCATTTCCTAATTTTTTTTTCAGTTTGAATTTGCAACTTAAATGTCACATTACCATAGGTTTTGGCTTTCTCTTTTCTATCTAGTTCAAAAAGAAAGTCACACCAGTGCCCCTGTTAAATCCTCATTTAATTAAGAGTACCTCCTGAACACATCGCAGTTCTTCAGGGATCAAGCGAATGGGTGAGTACCATTGCAGTTAAGAAAAAGACAAGGAAGACTACAGTGCAGTCTTAGAATAGAATTTGCAAAAGATAGTTTCAATGTACCAAATTCTCCTATTATTACATATTTCTTTCTTCCAAGTTATTCACTGGTAAAACAACATAAGAAAAAGAGGACCTAATTTAGCTTATAGGACATGAACTCTATCTCTATATGAAACCCAGAGAAATTTTATTTCTAGATTATTCACAAAACATGAATAGAGGATTTTTTTTTTTTCATAATGTTGTTGCTTGGCATAACCATATCTTATATTAGGTTTATGGAGTGATCATTTTTCCAATATCTGATTCACCCTGTGTTTTTATTTAAATCTATAGAATTTAGTCTTTTTATTTTTCCTTGAAGCTCAACTGGGCCACATAAAAGTCTGCAAGCCATGGTCACTTATCTCTTTTATCTCTTTATCAGGGTTGATCACTTCTGGTTCATCTATCTGCCATTTTGAAAATTAACAAATACAAATTTAAGACTGTAAAAGAATTGAATATATTTTTAGACCCAGTCTTTGATCTTATGGGTCAAACAATCTTATAGGGGAACTAAATTATATACATTTATATTTATTATCATTAATCTAACAAATATTTATCAGGCAACTACTCTATGCCAGGCATCACGCAAACACGCACACTCACACACACACACAAAGCAAGCAAAAGAGATACTTCATATGTATTTAGCCTTTGTTCAAATGTGGGAGGAACTGGAGAAGCAAAGGTCTGGAAAGGGGCAGATGGAACATTAGAGATTGAGTCACTAACCAGTTCACCTAGAGATTGGCATATAGGGACAAATTGGAGCTTTCAAAGAAATCCAAGAATATGAGCACATCCTGTTGCTGAAGACAGCTGGAAAAAGGGAGCTTTATTTCTGCTGTGTCAAGCACCTAAGGTCTGCTGTTCTGGTCTGCCATTCAAAGTATGGCCAGTATAGCCAGGAAATGACTGGATGTTCAGCAGAGAAGAGCTGGAACAAGCTAGAACCTGTTAGGTTTCTGTGCATTCTTCCAAAAGACTTTCTGAGAATGATGACTGTTGCTTCATTTTGTCCCCAAATCTCATGTAAGTTTCCACTTTTGGCCAATTCTAACCAGCTGCCAAGAAGAAAAGAGACACTAGTCCCTTCCCTCATCAAGATGACAATAGCATAGTCCAGCACAACTGCAGAAGTAGCTGCTGCTCCTGAGAGGCACACAGACTTACAGCACATATAATGAAGTTACAAGAGAAAGAGCTGAAAAAGTGAATGTAAGTTTGTTCTCACAAGACAGAACTGTATAGAACTGAGAGAGAAAGATTGTTGACATGACTCATGGACTTGTAGTTTAGGGAAAGAGAAGAGAGATGAAGAATACAATAATTCTTCTGAGAGGCAGTTAAAAGCACTTGAGAAAATCCAAGGTAGGTATAGAAAGGCACATCCTTAACCCAAAAAGGAACATAAAGACCATATATGAAAAATATCACATCACATTTAATAGTGAAAAACTGAATGCTTCCCCTTTAAGATCAGGAACAAGAAGACAAGGGAATTCACTCATACCACATTCATTCAACATTGTATTGGAAGTTCCAGTCAGAACAATTAAGAAAGTAAAAAAAATAGAATCTTTCAGATTGTCAAGGAAGAAGTAAAATGATCTCTATTTGCAGATATGAAAAAAACTTTTTCAATTAGAAATTCTCAAGAAATCCACTAAAAAACTATTAGGACTAACAAACAAGCAAGATTACAGGCTATCAAGATAATAAAAAAATCAACTGTATAGCTATTTAGAGTAATACAAAATCTGAAAATGAAATTGACTACAATTCCATTTATATTGTCATCACAACTAAGATACTACATTTAATATTTTATTTACTACATATAATAACAATAGTACATTTAAAATAATAATTTAGTGAATAGTAAATAAGTTTAATAACTTTTTTTTACACTGAACTATTAATGAACATTTCATAAATATACTATGTCATGGATTCATAAATATACTATGAACATGAATATACTATGTTCATAAATATATGTTCATGAAGGAACATTTCATAAATATACTATGTTCAAGATTTAATATTCTTAAGAAAACAATACCCCTAAAATTGATCTACAATTCAATGTAATCCCAATCAGAAACTGAAAGCTGGGCCTAAAATTCATGTGGAAATATAAAAGAACAAAACAGCTTAAAAAAGGTTTAAAAAAATAAAATTAAAGAACTCACACTTTCCAAATTCAAAATTTACTGCAAAGAAGTAGTAATTAAGACAATGTGATATTGACATAAGAGTAAATATATTATTAATGGGATATAATTAAGAGCCCAGAAATAAGCTCTTACTCTTATGGTAAGTTTTCTTTTTTTCTGTGTAAATTTTTTTTTTTTATTGCAGTAACATTGGTTCATAACACTGTAGTTGATTCAGAGGTATCAGTTCAGACCCCATTTAGCAGAGTACGTTACCACAGCACACCCACTGCTAGTGCACACACAGTCCTCTACCATCCACTTTTGTTCCTCTTACATCACTTAAGACAGTTACATGAAGGAAAAGAATAGTCTTCTCAACAAATGGGACAACTGGACAGCCAGAGAATGAAACTGGAATAGGATTATAACTGAAGGGGAATCTGAGTCAAATGAGTATGATATGTGTGTGTGTGTGTATGTTTAAATGTGGGAGGTAGTATAGCCTTTTTGCAAACTAATGAGAATCTCTAGATGACAAGGAGATATGATAATGCAGGAGATATGGGGGATAATTGCAATAGGGATTGGAATCCACTACACATTCATAGAAACAAAAGTGAATATTGGGGACGGATGCCTGTAGGCTGCGAGATGTGTTGGTGGAAGTATTATAGAAATTCTGTGTTTATTACTTTTATCTTCTCAGTGAAATTGGAATCAAATCTTCAGCTGAGAATAAAAAGTCAGAGGTGGTGTTTAAAGGGAAACTGGGAGCAGATGTGATGTAATTGTATAAAGCGAGAGTAAATGGACTAGAGAAACACAGTGAGATTGCAAGAGTGGTAGAAACCCTCTTAAGGTTGATGGATACAAAGTGAAAGTGAAGTGGGAGAACATGATTGTATATTTTTCACCAGCCACATTTATTTATCTAAGTGCTGGTGGGAATGTATACCGAGAACAGTAATCAGGATTAGTATGTGTCAGGGTAGTACAACGGAGTGGTAAGGGAACTGGAGCTATTTATACAGGTGAATTTATGCAGTTGTTGAAATGAGTACAGCAGAGGAAATGAACGGTAAAGAGAGAATGGTGGTTGGTAAGTAGGATGTTTGAAAATGAATTCTTGGAGGAGATAAATTTGTTAATCATATGTTCTAGATTTTGAAAGTAAATGCCTGAGGTAGTATGAACGACATACTACTTGGGGAAACAGGGACCAAAAATTGAGAGCATTGCTATGGTAATTACCATCTATATCTGTACTGTCCAAAATGGTAGCCACTAGGCCACATGGCTAATGAAATTAATTAAAATTAAATAAAAGTAAAATTTCAGTTCCTCAGTTCCAACTGGTCATATTTCCAGCACTCAGTAGCCACTTTTGTCTAGTGGTTATTTTATAACTTTGTGTGTATGTGTGTGTGTGTGTGTACGTGTACTAGATACAGTAGATGCTGGTGAAATAGAACATTTCTATCATTGAAGAAAAGTCTATTGGATTGGGCTACATGAATATGGATTCTGATATCATTAACAATTGTGACAAGAGTAATTTTGGAGAGAGGGACAGTGAAACAGGTGTAAAATCGGGCCTCCCCGGTGGCGCAGCGGTTGAACGCTGGGTTGTGAAGCTGCCCGCTGCCTCCGCAGCGCCGGTTCGATCCCCGGCTGCTCCCCGGCCACCGGAGGAGGGTCCCACATGGCGCGCAGACCTCTCCTGCCGCCCGCTGCTCCCCTCAGCAGTGTACTTCGGTCCTTCTGCCTGCTCTGCTCCCCGCTCTGGCTCTGGTGAATTCTCTCACCCTCCCGCGCTTCTGACTGTACCCAGTGCTTGTATAAATAATTAAAACAAATCTTTAAAAAAAAAAAAGAAACAGGTGTAAAATCTTTGAAGAATGAATATCAAAGTTGTTATCTACCCTAATTCCAGTGATCCAGAGAGGTGTGGGAGAGAAGATAGCTATTCTTTGGGAGAATTGATAGGGAACTGTGTCCTCATGAAAGAATCTGGTCTTAAATAGAATAAAAAGGTAAAAAATCATTTGGAAAACAACTGGTGAGACGTGTGTGTGTGTGTGTGTGTGTTTACACATATTTACACACACATCCATATGGATAGGTAGATAGTGGAAGGTTTTGTGGAGTGAGAACAGGAGATTAGGTCAGTGTAAGGAATTTATAGGGCTATATGGGAATGAGTGTCCAGGTGAAGAAAGCTAGTCTTGAGCTTCTTATAGTGACTTAAGAGAAGAGAATATGAAAAGGTCATTTCTGATGGGTCTCTTAGGTTATGTGTACTGGTAGGAAGAGAATAGTAGAGTTCCAGTAAATAATGGTATCAGGGAGTCTTACAAGGAGTCATTGATATGATCAGGGAGTCTTACAAGGAGTCATTGATATGCTTGGTTAACATACAGATCTTATATTTTGGTTTTAAGATCTTGACAATGATTGTAAAATATTTTTATGTATTATATAATTTTTCTTGAAATAATTACCTTTTGTATTTGCACTCACTTTTTAAAACATCTTAAAATATTATTTAGGACATTTTAAATATGAGTATTACCCAGTCTTTCTGTATTATGACTTCCACAATTTGGGGACTAGTTTTGCTTCACTTCAGTTGATTGGAGTATAACTTAACTTTTTTCCCCAAGATAGATATGTGGGCAGTCTATTTTCTTAGTTTTATTTTTTAACATCTAAGAATGTCTTTCTGTTGTTTTTATATAAGAATCACATTTTTTAATATATCATTTTGTACCATAGCACTTCTCCTAGAACTCAGGTATTATTCCATTATTTTCTGGAATGTAATGTTACTGAAAAGAAGTTTGTGGTAAATTGATTATTATTTCTTTGTTAGAAATGTCTTTTCTTATTTGACCTAAATAGCAGGAAGGTATTTTGTCTCTATCTTTTTACCTCAAAAAAATTTTTAGTCTGTATCTGGACATAGGCCTGTTAATTAGTTTTGCCTGGAGTGAGTTTGTTTAACACATAACTCTTTCCTCAACACAGGAAAGGTTTTTTTCTCTGCTATTACATTCATTCTAGGCTACAGCCTTTATTTCCTATATGTAAAATTTTTCATGTCTTTTCTTCTTGTTTTCACTTCTTCACAGAAATGTGGTAAATTTTTGCTTCAACAGTATAAGATTTGGTTTTCAATTGTTTTTATTTTGGTATCATTTTAAAGTGCTTATTGAGCAATAACATAAAATAATGGTAAAGATTATATATTATTGAACATGAAAAACTGAATGTTTTTCATACATCAATATCCATCTTAAGAGCTGTACACCCCCAATTTTTTTGAAGGCAGGCTCATTACATTCCCATTCTCTATACTTCCTACCAGATGTTAGTGTAAACTTGAATTTTGTGTTTACTTTCCCCTGAAATTTTTTAGAGCTAAGATTTTAATTTTGGAATAACATTGCATTTACAAGAAATTTTAAAGCTAGTGCAGAGTTCCCTAGTCTTTTGCCATTTTATTTAACATGCTGAAATTTGGATTCTCTTGAAATTCTTCTGAATTTAGTCCATCTAATGGACTAAATGTTTATTTAAAAAATTATTAGAGACCATATCTTCTCACATCTTATAAATGATGCGAGACGGTTTTTCAAAAATTTCACCTGTGTCTTTCAGCAAATTCTTCTTAGAAAGTGCTTTTCTTGTGACCCCACTGGCTGGTGACTATCTCCATGAATATTAGGGCAGTACTTTCTAGTAGGCCTTACGCTAGTTTCCCAGGGTTGCCAAAACAGAGCAACATAAACTGGGTGCTGAAACAACAAATCTATTCCCTCAGTTCTGGAGGTTAGCATTCCAAAATCAAGAGGTCAAGAGGGCCATATTCTTCCCACGAAGACTTCGAGGGGAACATTTTGGTCCCTTTGGACAGCTATAACAAAAAGCCATGGAGTCAATGGCTCAAGCAGCGACATTTATTTCTCACAGTTTTGGAGGCTGGGAAGTCCAAGATCAAAATGCTGCAGCTCTGATATCTCTTGAAGACCTGACTTCTGGTTGATTGATGGTCTTCTTACTGTGTCTCCATAGAGTGGAAGAGGCACCAGAGCTCTTTGGGGTCTCTCTTTTTTTTTTTAAGGTTTATTTTATTTACTTATGCATATAAGAACTGGGTTATAGGCCAGAGGTACGGGGGTGGGAAGTGTGAGAGGATTCACCTGAGACAGAGCGGGGAGCAGAACAGGCAGACTGACTGAAATATACTGCTGAGGGGAGCAGCGGGTGAGACAGGAGAGGTCTGCTGCACCATGTGGGTAGCTTCCTTGCTGGGAATCGAACTCATGCTGCAGCGGCTTCCAATAGCTTCAAACAGTGCTGAGACTTAACTCTTTGCGCCACCAGGGAAGCGCTGATGTCTCTTTTATAAGGACACTAATTCTACTTATGATATCATCTTTCAAACACCCCACCTCCCAATACCTTTCACATTGAGCATTAGATTTCAGCATATGAATTTTGGGGAGACAAGCATCTAGTCTATAGCAGACAGCATCTTTCCTTTTCTCTCCTCGATTCTGGTAGCACAGATGTTGCTTGGCTTGTGGTGGTATCACTCCAATCTCCACTTCTATCTTCCCAGGGCTCTTTTCCTTTTATGTCTCTGCCTTCATGTGGCATTCTTCTCTCTGTACCTGTCTCCAAATTGCCCTCTTCATATAAGGGCACCATTCATACCCTACTCCAGTATGACTTTCATATACAGAGATGATAATCTTTAAATATGTTGGGTTAAATAAAATCTATTAGTAAAATAAATCCATGTTTTTGCTTACTTTTTAAAATAGAGCTATCAGAAAATTTAAAATATGTAACATGTGATTAGCATTTGTGACTTGCATTCTACTTTTATTGAACAGTAGTGACCTAAACTATGATAAATCTGATAAGCAGTTACTAGGTACGTCAGCTCTCAGCCACTCACTTTTTTCACACATGCAGAACTTGGACAGGACTGATTAGGTGTGACCCTATGATGGCAAGATTAAAATGACAGCAAATTGGCAGCAAGTTATTATAACTGAACTATATAATATAAACTAGCAACAAATCAATAAAAATTGAGAAAAAAGTACAACTAAACTATTATTATAATTGAACTATTATCTCTGAGATTTCATGTCTATGGGAAACATAATTGTTATCAACAATGAGCTCAAAAGACAAGCATTAATGTTTATCTGGTGTTTCAATGATCTTTTAACAGACCCAGCACATAGTACACTGTAAGTAGCTCTTGGGAAGAAGGTGGTATGATAGAGTGAGCTGAGAACATTCACTGGAGTCAGATAATCTTGAATTCCAGCAGAAAGTCTATTACTTGTAGGCTGAGCGGTCTGTTTCATGACATAATTTCTCTGGACCTCAGTTTCTACAGCTGTAAAATGGGCTCATTATCATCCACCTATATAGGTGTTAGGTTTGAAAAAATAGATAAAGTTTATAGAGCATAAATGACAACAAAATATGGTATTGCTATTGTTTTTGAGTTCATTAAAAAATATAAAGAAAACAGCGAACATTTTATGGATCTTTATGGGAAAAATTCTAAAGGTTTTCCCTGGTAAGGATACTCCAGGCCAATGCTGGACATTCCAAACTTTGGTTTCTCTAGCAAATAATAAAGATGAGCTCATATACATGGAAAGTCAAGACATAGGATGTCTCTTCTTTCTCATTGTGTACATTAGCTCCAAGTAATTAATGCCTGGATCACAAAGAATTAGTCGGCATTCAAAACACTCAGCAATAGCAATTCACTCTGTCTGTTCCCAGATGCTGGCAGGCCACCCCATCAATCATTCTCACAGTCACCCATCAGCGTGTCATCACGGTGTCAGAGATCTGTTTTGGCAGGCACGCTGCAGGGTACACGTAATCAACAGAGATGCCACACTTAACCGTGATTGATGCCAGTCTTTTGACAATTTCTCCTGCCAGACCCCTCCATCATTCTGTGGCATTGTTTTCCTGAGTGGTAAATAATTTCTTTGAATTATCACAGTCACTTTACAGACTGACTTGCAGAGATGTCTTTCTGTCACAGCTGCATTTGGAAGGACCTTTATCTTGCATGTCCCTTTTTTTTAAATCTCTGATGGTATTTTCCATGTTTCACTCACTTTCTTCATTTATCACAGGACTTTTTTTGAAGGTAAATAAAAGGGATATTATAACAGTCTAGTTAGGTAGATGTCTGAAATCCATTTCTAATTCTTCTTTTGACTGGCAGCATGACCTTGAAAACAGAATTATTACTCTGCCTTTGCATATTATAACTATGGCTTTGTTATTACTATAGCTCTCCTTTTATACATGATTCTTCTGAATCTGAGACTTCAGACAAGTCCAAGTAAGTATCACCCTCCTCCTTCTAATCTGGCATTTGATTTTGGCCAGGGGCCTTCTGTATTTGCACTTGTGTGAGATGGTCTTATTCCTCCCTTTCCCTCTCCTCGTTCCCCCTCCCCACCAAGGCCCAGGTCTAACCCAGAACTGTCATGGAACTATTAGCAGATGACAATTTCAGATGGTCTTAGTACCTCTTTTTTTTTTTTTTTAATAAGATACCTGTAACTAAAAGATAGAGATATGCCAAATAAGACACTTACTTGATTCTCTTTTTTGAAAAAAAATGAATTGCCCTCTCTTCTGATGATATTCAAAGTAATTGAAGAAGAAGGATAACATAACATTCCAATTACTCTTTAGTGCATTATTTCAAAACACCCCTTTCCTTAGTTGTTTCTGTAAGTCGGAAGTTTTCCAAAAGTAAGAATTTTAAGTCCTAAAATGCAGATGGCAGGAAATCAGTCTCCACTGTCCCCAGCAAACCCCAGGGAACCAAGCTCTCCATTAGTAGCCTAAACAGAAGTACAATCCCTTCTAGCTAGAGCCAGATTCTCTTGACTCTCTCAATCTTCAAATGTAATAGAAATAGCTAGCACAGAATGACCCAGGTCCTCCCTATTAAATGTACTAAAACTGTAATTCTAATTCTGCAAATCAGGCTTGTAAGAGAAATACTGTCTAGTACATGAAATATTTCTCTAACCATGATACCATCTCTTTTAAAATAACTTGAATTCCAAAGACTTAGATGTTTTAATGAAGTGGGTCCAGGCAAGAAGATTTTTCTAAAACTGTTCAGTCCATCATCAAACTCTACATTTAGACAGCACCATGCTGCATGATTCTTGAGGGACCTCAATATCTGAGTGAGCCTCCCAAACTGTCTTGTTAAATAACAAGGTGGGATTCAGGCCTGGGGGGTTGAGAGGGGTGAGCACCCAATTATTCCAAGTCTGCACAATCACACCTTTTCAAATCTGTACAACCACATATTTTGTTAAACCTTTGGTCCCCAGGCTCTACCTTGTGAAAGGAAAAGTCAATTTACCATTAAACATTTAATGAAGAAAAGACAACAAAGAAAATTCCATAATTTTTCTCAAGATACCTTTTATGGTGAGAACCACAGAAAACTTTTTTAATGGAAACAAGCAATTTGTCCATTTTTCCCATTAAACATCTAATAAGTGTTCCTTTACCATGTAATGGGTGGGACTCTGGAGTTACATTAAGAAAAGAGTCTTATTTTCTCTAAGAACGAGTATACACTGTCCTGGAGAGAAAACATGTGTAACTCCCTCCAGTATCAGGCAGAATAAGACAAACATCAAATTAAAAGCACAAGCCAAATACTGGTAGCTCCTAGGAGATAATAATGCTGTGAGGAATGATGAAATACTAGGAATGTGATAACTACATTTTTAAAGCAGAGACATTCTAAGTGATTTATATGCATTTTAGTTTTTTTTTTTTTTGAAGATTTATTTATTTATCTATACAAGCACTGGGCACAGTCAGAAGCGCGGGAGGGTGAGAGAATTCACCAGAGCCAGAGCGGGGAACAGAACAGGCAGACTGACGAAGTACACTGCTGAGGGGAGCAGCGGGCGGCAGGAGAGGTCTGCGCACCCTGTGGGACCCTCGCTGGTGGCCGGGGATCGAACCAGCGCTGCAGAGGCTGCGGGCAGCTTTGCAACCCAGTGCTCAACTGCTGAGCCACCCAGGAGGCCCTACATTTTAGTTTTGAGAATTCATGTCTACCCTATGTGACAGGGGCTATTGTCATCTCCATTTCACAAATTTGGAAACGGAGGCAGATGGAAGAAGAAATGGCCAAGTGGGTTAGAAGCAGGCAAGAAGACTTCAAAGAAGACACTATTTAAGCCATAGTCTGGGAGAACAAATGGGATTTAAATAGCTGGAGGAGGAAGAGGGGAGAAAAGAAAAGGAGTTTAGGTCAACGAAACAGTACAAGAATTAAAATAAATAAATGGAGTATTAAGCAAAATTAATGGGGCGACTGTGTCAAACAAGGAGGAAGGGTAGTGTTTAAAATGACAGCCAGTATTTAAAAACCTATGAAATGGCATCATGTGCCCAGCAGAGGTTCACAACGTAGGGAGGTGAAGAGCATGCAGAAACTTTTCAGTGCCAGCCTCGCACTTTCTGTTCTACTGGGCTGCATTAATTGATATTTACTTCATGCCCACACTGCAGGCGCTTTTATTATTTTTGATCCTTTAACCTGTTTCATAATTCCTTTCCTTTCCTCCGAAAACAGAAAGGAAAAGCAATCACAGCTGAACAATAGACTGGTATACCAAACAAAATCTTGCAATGTGAAAGAGGGAAAAAATCTATATTGTCAGACCAGCAGCAGAACCAAATAAAGGTTGCCATATAGTGACGGGTGGAAAAGTTAGAGGGTAAATGAAAGGCATGAAACATTAGCACCAGTGGTAGAAGAAGTAAACTAATATTTTGTGAACACCTACTTTGAGCCTGAACTTTACCTGTATTGTCTCTCCGAACTCTACCAACAAAGTGCTATTGTTCCTATTCTATAGATGGGAAAACTGACATTTATGGATGTGAAATTCTTGCCTGACACCACTGAAGTTAGTAATGGCAGACTGAATTTTGAAAACTTTTCTCTTTGACTTCAAATCCTTTGTTATTTTCACTCTGATATACTACCTCCATAAGAACTAGTAATCATTGGGGTTCTTAATTATATACTCCAATAAATCTGTTGCTATTTCTATTAATCTGTCCTTCTCATCCTCAACATATCTTTTTATATGCACTATATGTTATGGTTAATATTTAATGTTTTACTCAAAATTATGAATAAATATTTGATCAGCCCAGTTTTGTAATCCCTTAGCAAATTTTCATGCATAAATGTTGGAGAAACGGAGTGAGTAAAGCAGAAATTGGCTTTATGGGTAATCTGATAAATGAAGATAATCGTAAACACTACTTGAAGCATTAAGTACTTTTACTACTATTAGTATTTTAAAATATTATATTCAAGTTGAAATGGTTAGTTTCCCCCCAAAACAATACAAACTCTTTTGACAAGTTGGGAAAGAACCAGATCAAAGCTGGGAAGCACAAAATTTCCTCACTGCACACAAGCCTGCTCTGACCTTGTTATATAACCCCTGCCTTCTGAGTGTCAGTCTTCCTGAGATTCTGCAAATAGTCATTTTCAGAAAACAGAGAAAACTGAGATTTTATCTAAATAGAAAGTTTTCCCCAGAGTGAATGTTCTTACCACTGCTGGACTTAAAATTTTACTCAAAAGCATTTAGAGTTGGTTTAACTTTGTAACTAAAAAAGGACCAAGAGTGCAATGTTATTGATTAAGCCATTCAAACAGATATATATGTGCTGTTTATCTGATACTAATCATGCCTTACGCTGGTGTAGGTAGGGATCTGTAAATTTCAAAGTAGTTATATACATTTATTTTTCATATTGGATTTGATCAACATTCCCGTAGAGTGGAGAGTGCAGAAAATAAAATCAACAGTTTATCGTAAGTAAACTTGAGTCCTGGAGACATTCAGAAGCTTTCCTGTCTCACAATGAGGGAAGAGAAGTGAGGGCTATTCAGCATGTTTCCAGAACTCCTAGACTGTGTTCTTTCTATTGCTTTAGCATCTCCTGAGACAAGTAAAGGCAAAACAGCTCCCGCTTCTCTCTCCTGTTCATTCCAGAGCAACAGATATAGGTGGGGCCTGAGATTCCTGATCTCCTAAGAAGCACAGAAGGATTCTTAGAGCAGCAATTTTGGGAAACACTGGTAAATATACCAAATGAGAGCAACATATTACAGAATAGTTTTCTTTGGAAATTTAGGTTCATATTCTTTGCAGTTAAAATGTCTTTAATGTTCCTAGAAATAGTTTAAATGAAAAAAAAAATCAAAAGACCAATGATCTCAGTTCATGGTTCCAGTGCAAACTAATAGAATAACACACCCACTAAAATGCTATTTGTGAATAACGATTGTGAAAAAACAGTGTAGCATGATCACACCTGCAATAGATGAAGAAACAAACCTGAGAAAAGTATTGATTTGGGCGAATGGATTATAATTTTCTTCATTACCAATAGCTATACATATAGTTTAAAAATACACTGTTACTTTTCATTTAAAAACCACCAAGCAAACTTATGCATTTCTATAAATCAGTGTTACCTCAATTAAAAAAAAGCGAGAGAAAAAAGAAAGATTGCTACAGAACTCTCCCCTGAAACTCAGTTCCCACAACCCACACCTCTTGACTTGATTTTATTGTTTATTGCCTGGATATTTATTTGGTGATGACTCAAATAAGGGAGTCATGAGTTGTGGATAATTTATTTGGTGATGATTCAAATAAGGGAGTCATGAGTTGTGGATAATGGCTTTTCACAATTAATTTATTATTAATTCATCCAGTAAATATTTGTTGGGCTTTTACACATAATAAGCACTATACTAGAAGCCCTATTTCCCAATATGATGCAAACTCAGGCTCTCTCTCCCAGGGCCTATCATCTTATAGGGGTTAAAAATTAAAATGATACTGGAAGTAGAGGAACTACAAGTATGTAGAAAGGGACTCTACTCAAATCTGGGCCAGGTTTCAACTACCATCTAAATCAGGAAAAATGAGGAATGGGATTTGCTCAGGGGAAGAGTCATTAAGAATGCTCCAGGTAGAGGAAATATTTGTGCAATATCCTGTAAGTGAAACATGGAACTGAAAGAAATTTCATGTAGCTGAATGGTAGGTAGGTTGTCAGAGAGAAAATGAGATGAAATGAGGCTTAAAAGATGAGTGATACCAGATCATTAGAACCCCAGACTTTATTTTTTAAAAAGGTTTATTTGTTTATGCATACAAGAGCTGGGGTACAGGCCAGAGGTGTGGGGGGTGAGAGAATTCACCAGAGACAGAGTGGGGAACAGAACAGGCAGATTGACCGAAGTACACTGCTGAGGGGAGCAGCGGGCAAGACAGGAGAGGTCTGCTGCACCATGTGGGTTGCTCCCTGGCTGGCCGGGGATTGAACTCATGCTGCAGAGGCTGCAGATTGCTTCATAGTGTGGTGCTTAACCCTTTGCGCCACCAGGGAGGCCCCCAAACCCCATACTTTAAAGGATTGTAAACAGTAGAGAGATGATCAAGTTTTTGTGTGAAACATAATACATTGGCTACTATATGACAAAGACTGAAGAAGGGAATGTCTAAAGCAAAAGTTTCATTGGGAAGTTTTTTTCATATTCAGATGAGACATGAACTAGAATAGTGGCAGTGGGGAGGGAGAGAAATAGATGTGTTTACTGGAAATAGCAGGACCTTGTAAATGACAGAACATAGGAGTAAGAGAAAGTGGGGTTGTAAAGATAATGTTGAAGATTTCATCTTAATAATTTGAGTCAATGATTGTTCCATTTCCAATCTCCTGAGTATGGAACACAGAAGAAAAGCATGTTTTAGGAGGTTGAGTGATTTTGAGAAGCTTGTGACAAAGTAACTTAAAATATTTTAAAAAGGATAAATTCCAAATGGTGTCACTCGCATGTAGAATATAGAGGAAACAGAACAGAGTCAGTAAAATCAAATCAATAATAAATCCAAGAGATTTGACTGTAGAATGGAGGCTACCAGAGGGATAAAGGAGAGAGAGCAGAGTTAGGGCAAAGAATACTAGATTATGTTGGAGGATTATGGGTTCCTTGATGGAGGTGTGGTAATGTATACCACATACACTGTTGTAACCAATGCTATCTCAATTAAAAAAAAATGACAGAAAAAGGCAATCATATTTTCTACCTTCACCTGCTCATAGTATACACTGTAGTATATTCCAGGGGAGACTAGGTTATTCCCACTGTGGCAAACTTCAGCTGATGAGGAATGATTTATCTAGGCTTCCTTACTCCTCAAACCTCAGTGGAACAAGAGTCCAGCAGATTCCATATACTCCCAGCATGTCCCAGGCTGGAATGAACTGCAGCTTCCCACAGCAGTAACCCTCACATTAATTAGCTGAGCACTAGAACATGCTTAACAGCTTTCTGAAAAAAATTTTCATGATTCATCATATTTGCCAACTTCCCTCATGACTAATTTCAAGCAATCGATGCGATGTCACTAAACATGAGGTGAAGAAGAGATAAGCAGAACAGGACGTTGTAATTCTACCACATGGACACAAAAGAAGTCAAAGGTCTCAAGTGGATAGATATCAGTAAAATACTTAAAAGTGATGACTACTTTTGTAAACATAATTGATATAATTGAAAATTTATACCATTTTTTACTGATGGCTAGTTTAATGACTAGCTTCCGAAAGTCCTAAAAATTTAATATTTAACTTCCTTGAGTCCCACAATGTGGAGACCATGTGAGACCTGGCTTCTGCATATGGTGTTCCACATCTCCTTGCCTCACTTCCCCTCTTTCTTGCCATGGTTATCACCTCCCAGGTAAGCCACTTACATCTAAATCTTGGCTTCAGGGTCTACTTTGGGTAAACCCCAAACTCAGCAGAGACCAGCAAATCTTTAGTACATACCAGAATTTTCAATTTTATGTCAAGTGCTGAGCCAAATTCCTCACATGAATTTGGTTCCCAGACAAGTCACATGAGATAAGAGAATCACTACTCGTATCTATTCTTCAGGTTAAGAAGCTGAGATTTAGAGTCATCAAATCAAGTGTCCAAAGTCCAGAAATTATCAAGTGGCAAAGCAGATCTATATCCAGGCAAGCTCACTCCAGAGCTCTCTCTTAAGCACAGAAGTAAGATTAGCATCCATTTAAGAAACTCAAGGAGTCCTGCTGGCACCTGGGATGGGGTTGCAAGCAAACCCACTGACTTGACAGTTGTGTGACTGAGCCGTTAGGTCTGCAGAGGGAAGATGTACTACTTTGGGTTTGGCCATTCTTGCCTGCAGTGTGAGCTGGAGGCAACACTCCTCTCAGGGAGTCTGTGTTTAATGTCTAAATAAATAATCCAAATGTAAATTGCAATCCTGCGGTGCCCTCCTCCCTTTTCCGTTTCGGGATATAAAAAGCATCCACAAACATATGCTCCTGCCGGATTTTTCTTTGTGGTGCCCTCTCTACGAAGACACTTAGAAAAAACAACAACCCACGGTCTCCTTTGGAGCCTGCCTCTCTGGTTTGTCATTTGCAAAGACAGAAATATTCCATGCGTGGTTGAAGGTGGTACCAGGAGGTGGGGGGAGATTTTTCTTTGGCTGCCCAGTTTATATATTAATGAGGGCCTGGGGTTGAAAGAAGAGCTCAGAGCTTTGCACATCAGAGCTGTCCACTTCCACTCAGTAGTGAATTACACGAACTGCTCCCACAGGGGTGGAGAGTGACAGGTTGTTTTTAACTAGTGTCCTAAGGATGGACCATTGTGTTTCCTCCCACACCATCTCCTGCCTCTGGGGTTATTGCCATTATAATTAATACTGATTATAATGCTGTGGAATTTTAAGTGCCAATTTCAGTTGTGGCTTAAGTAAAAAGTAAACAATAAAAGCAACATGTTAAAGCTATCAGAAGATTTTTAATTTGGTAAAGGAGCAAACTTTCTCTTTACTGAGGTTCCAGATCTGTGTGGAAATTGCTACTATAGCAAGAAACAAGCAAACAGATAAATAAAAATATAGCATGTTCCTTTTTCTTCTTGGAATTAGAGAGTAGCATTGTCAATTATGGTCGAGGTACCAGAACACACAATGAATCCTTCTGGGATTTTTTTGAATTTAATATAAAAAGTTATGCAAACAGCAATATTATGATCTGAATACAAAAGACTGTGTCAGCTGGAAGTTCAGCACAGGATTTCTGATTGTATGAATGACATATCTGTGTATGCTGTCTCCCAGCTAGTCTTTGAATATTAACTCTTGAAGCCGAGTAAGTGCTTCCCAGATAACTAAATGACCTTTGCTTATTTGAAATGGAAATGAACTGAACTGAACTGAAATAAATATTAAGTCTAACTGGTAGCCAGTAAATAATTACATTCCAATGTTTTCCACAAATTTATACTTTCACAACTTTTTCTAAGATGGACTTAATCTTAAAAAAAAGTGTATTAATGATGGTTCTCTTCTTGAAGATGCCTGTATCTTACAGAAAAAAATGGTTTCTTTCCCTATTTCTGTACTGATCAGTAGAGCACTTGATGAAAAAAATAAAGAAAAAATTGTGTGCCAGGATTTATGGGGGATAACATTTAAAATTCACTCAGATACCCAATGCTGTTTTTTTTTTTTTTCATCTTTCCTGTTTTTAGGTAAGTGTAGGGGCAGGATGGGCACAGAGCAGGTTTTCTTTGTGATTCGAGCAGACTGGTAAAGGTGGCGTGCTGGAGCCTTTCTCAGGCTTTTATTGAGCTTTTACATGCAGTGCAGCAACCAGGTACAAGGCAGGCAGGGATGGCAGGGGGCCAGGAGGCCAGCAGGCCTCCAAGCCCCCTCCACAAGTCTTCACTCTGGGCTTCCCTGGCATTCTTTCTGCCCTTCTCTCTCCTGCCTCTCTCCTGCCTCTATTTCTCTTGGCGAATATCTCAATACTGAGCTATGGCACACAGAAGTAAACAACGTAACTTATAAAAAAGTAAAAAAAATGCAGGTGCCCCATCAGGCAGGACCATCCTAATGGCAGGAGGGCAGAAAAGCTTGAAAACAGTTTAGCCTATAGTAAGGAATAAGCTTCATCACTTTTGACTGGGGCTGGGTCTTGAGGAAGTCAGACAAATAAGGTACAAAATTAAAGGAAGTGCTCACTTTCAGTGTCATGCAGGTGCTTGACCAAACCACAGGGACCCCACCTCACTACTGTATAGGTCAGTCAAACTAGAGAGTGGAAGCTTTTGTTCTGGCTTGTGACCACTAATACACTGTATTGAACTTCATTCATTCATTATTATTCATCCAACAAGTAATTTAGTGAGCATCTGTTGTGTACCATAATGACTATAGGAATGTGCAAAAGTGAAAGCAGGGAGACCATTAATATCTTAAGCCAAAGATGAAGATTGGTAAATTGGCCCACCATGCAGGTGATGAGAAGTGACTGGATTGTCATCAGAATTTCCTGATGGATTGCATAGTAGGTAAAAAACAGGGGAATTAAAGGGAGAATTTTAGATACTAGGTATGAGCAACTGGAAGGAGGATTTCTCCAGTTTTGAGATGGGAAAGAATATGGGTGTAGCAATTTATGGGTAAAGACCTGAATTCTGATTTTGGATAAGCCTGAGATGTGTAGAAGATCAAGATCTATAGAAGATCTAGAGAACATGGTTATGTGTGGAGCCAGGGAGAATCCAGGCAGGCTAAAAATAAGTATTTTGAAGTTATCAGTACAATTAGGTTATCTAGGAATCTATAACACTGGATGAGGTCACCAAAAAGGTAGAAAAGCAAAGCATAGAGAACAGAAGAGATCCAAGGACTGGGCTCTGCCGCAGTCCAAGAGCAAAGATGAGGAGAAGTAAAAGAGTTTCCAGGGGGAGTGATCAGACATCAAGTGATGCTAATGGTCAAGTTAGATGAGGGTTGAGAGTTTATTAGTAAACATGTGGAGACCATGAGTGACTTTTGGTTAGAGCAGTTTGAGTTGGGTGAAAAGTAAAAGCCTTATGAGAATGGAATTAAGAAGTGAAAGAATGGAAAACAGTAGAATTAAAAAAAATTAAAGGAATTTTGATATAAAGGAAAATTATAGAAACGGTACAGTGGCTTTTAGTGGAGCAGGGTCAAAAGGTATGTCAAATAAAGTCAGAGAAATAAAAGATGGAAAAAATAATTGCTTATTCCTGTGCTGGTGGTAACTAGCTCTTGTCAATGTGATTACCCTGTGGTGGTACTTGGCTATTAACATCCTATTTTTTTCAGGAATAGCTTTGAATACACAGCAAATAGTTTAATGTTTTCTTCAGAATAAATGATTTGGGGATTATTTCAATAGTAAAAGAACCTGGTGGGTATGAAATGCAAGTTGAAAAGTTAAAAAGAAATTCTCTTGGCTGGAAAGGTGAACAATTCAATAAATTCCAAAGAAAGTGGAGGAGATAAAGATATCAATCAAGAAACAATAATTGCATATTAATCAAAAGTTATAAATTGCCATGTAAGAAACTCATCACCAAGGAGAATATGCTATAATAATCCCTAACTCAGTTATCATTTCAATAGTCAGGAAATATATCATGTTTTTCAAAAGAAGCTCCTAAAAAAGAAGTGCTGTCTCTGGAATCAAGTTAGGAATGAACCACGACCACCACAATTGCAGACAAACTATAACATACTCACTCATTCTCTTAACTCAAATTTCTAATCCTGATAGGATGGTGAGAAGGTCAATCTCGGTTATTCCTGAGGTTCCCAATTCTGTTAGGGTTTGGTGTGTCCCAGACTTGGAGACTTACACAGTCCAGATCTTTTAGGGAAACCCCAACAGCTTTTGATGCATGGTGGACCTTGTGATACACTCTTACAGATTATTCACACATGGTCAGTACCTCGATTATGGGAGAACCTTTGGAAGGGTAGAAGCTCAACTGCCTAAAATGTTTTCCATTCAAATGCCTTAAACTATTTGTTTTTCTCAGGGCAGACCTCTAATATAGGAAAAGAAATGCCATGGTAGAAGGAATTACCTGTGGTTCCCTTAAAAGACACTGTTGTCCAGTCTTAAACAATTTCTCTTTCCCCTAGATTGACAGTTTCTGCCTTTACCCAAACACACACTCTTTTCAATCCCCTTGTATCAGTCAGTTTATATGTTATGCTGTAGTAACAAATGACTTCAAAATCTCAGGGGGCTTACATCACAAAGACTTATTTCTTGCCCACATTTCATATCAGCTGCAGATCAGAGGTGACTCTAATTCATGTCTTATTCATTGGTGGATCTAGGTTGTTGGAGCTACTCCTAAGTTGTCTCATGGCAGCAGGAAAAACATACATCACACCATGCCATGACCTTGAAAGTTTCTACTTGGAAACTGCATAAATCACTTTGGCTCACTGTGTATTGTCCAGAGACATCACATGGCTTAGCTGATGAGGAGGGAAGTAAAAAGACATCACATGGCTTAGCTGATGAGGAGGGAAGTAAATTACTCATTGGGAGAAGCATCCAAGATTTTGGAACAATAATATGATCTACCACCATACTTTTCCTCTGGGACATTTTAGAAAAACAAATATCAAATCCCTTTCCTGGAGGTAAAGTAGCAATGAAAATTAAGCTGGATAGCACTTTATTTCTTATTAGTTCATTTTGCTGTTTCACTTTAGCACATACTTGAAGGTTGAATAGATGCTAAAGGAAATTTTGGAGAGTGGGTCTAA